CTTGCATTTCGTCGACAGAATACAATAAGGAAAGATAAATATCAATCAGATCAACTAAGAGGATTTGTACTACCTACACATCCTGTGCATTTTCAAGATCGTAAGTTATAAATTTTAAAGAAAAAATCATTACGATGGTATACGTAGAGTATACTAAAACTAGTAGCAGAGACATTTTAATTTCTTATAAATTAATATCAAATCAGATTTCGTCTTCTATGTGCATCTTTTCCTTGATGTTCTCTTTGTTCTAATGCCGAGCCGTCTATACATATTAGAATATGTAAAAAGTAGTGTTGATAAAAAAAAAAGAAATACAGAAATAAGTTCATTAAATCTTCATTTTTATTAAATTTTGGAAACAATCGTCTTAATAATTCACATTTAATTGCATTCGTTGAATCCATTTATCGAACGTTGTATTCAAAGAATTCATGAACATGTTTTGCAATACAATGCAACGAGTTCAAATCATTTTAATCACTTAGATCATATTTGATTAAGTCAAATAATCAGAAATCGTATAGTGTCAAATCTGGAGAATTACTTAAATAAAAACTTGATGAACTTATTTCTCTATTTCTTTTTTGTTCTAACGCCATTGCTTTTTCTACTTCTCTAATATTAATTAAAGAATAAGACAAAATTTAAAAAAACCAAGCAGATAAATTTGAATCAAATATTTACTATTAAAAAAGAAACAGTAAAAGACAAGCCAAAAAGGCTTTTATATTGAAGTTTATCAACGTTAAGTAATGTTCGTATTGAATTTTTTTGTCACAAATAAAGACAAACCATTGAGAAGATCAGGTGCTGTAATGAGATAATCATTATATCGATTAAACAAGGTGTTTATTTGATTTTGTAATGCTATTGACCATTTGTTTTTTCTATTTCAATGCACCAGAAGGTTGTAGATGAGTGTATTACTCCACTCTTCGACATTTTTACTTTCGATCAAAGTTTAGATTATCGATCAAATATCAGAAAAATATAGAGCATTGTTTTTACTATGAGACCATATAGAGAAGAATTTTTTATAAGATATTAAAATATCTTTGTTCCTACTTTTTGTATACTCTAAATAATTAATAATTAATTTTATCTAGATGTTATTGTCTGTCTTCATGCTGATAAATCATCACCAACAATTGGTTTACGAAATTTTGTTATGCCTCTTCGTGCTAGTTCATTTCATCGTCATGAATTACCTACAATTATATTTGTAACAGATCTTGATTATATTAAACATGAATGGGATATGATATCAACATTTCCTGATATTTATATTCTTAATGTAAAAAAATTTTTTTTTTCTGAAAAACGACCTAAAAGGAGTATTGAAACAAGCATAAGGACCAAAAGTTTAGATCTTCCCAGACAGATAAAAACGGTGGATCCTCGCAGACTGTGACGGAAGTTGTTAATATACAATTACAGATCGTATATCAATCTATATGAACTACTTTCTTATTGAGATTTCCGAAGGAGCCTAGTGAAGAAATGTGTCCTAAAATAGATAGAATAAAACACATTTTCCTGTAATTGACTGTGTTTTACATTTTAATCTCAAGAGGATTGTGCTAAGAGCTTTTCTTTCTTTTTTTTTTGCTTTATGAAAATCAATTTTATATAATATAAAAATTTTTCTTATTAGGGTTCACCAAGTAATCCTTATAATTTACAATTAATATGTATCCAAGATTGTCGTCAATGTGTTATTATATCAACATTAGATCGTGAAAATCAAGATACATATTTAGTTGATAAATCATCTGTACTTTGTACATTAAATATTCGACAAATTGAAATGAAATCAGCTGGATTTGTATCAATTATGAATTTAACTGGACAAAATTCATTTGATATAAATACTAATCAAGCAATGGTTTTACTTCAAAATAAAATTCGTACATTAACAACATTAAGTAATATGAAATTTTCATTTATTTTTGTTTTTTCAATAAAAAAAAAAAATCATTTTTTTTCTTAATATTTAGCGGTTGATTCAAATGTTCAATATGTGGAACAAGGTAAAAAAACCAATATTCGATTAAAAAAAGAAAATATTAAAATTGATTGTATTTAAATTTATAGGTGATACAGATGAAGTTGAATTAGAATTTTTTTTAACAACACCATTTGCATCTGGTAAAAATGATTGATTCTTCCTTTTTTTTTTAAAAAAATTTTATTAAAAAAATCGTTTTTTTTTTAAGGATCTGCATTTGCTGATAGTGTACTTGATTGTATTTTAAGTTGTGTAAGTTTTTTTGAATGAATTTAAAAAAATAATTTAACAAAAAAAAAAAAATTATATTAAAGGCTTATTATAATGATAATGCAGTTAATTTACTTCGAAATATTTTAACGGGTGGTGTTGATTTACAATTAGAAGAAATTTTAGCTGAAGGTGGTGGTTTTACACAATGTGAATCAGTCGATATATTAAAAAAACGAAATCGTGCTCGAGTTGCTATATTAGAAATTCGAGAATTAATACCAGATATTGATTCAAGAGTAAGAAATTTATTTTTTGTTGTTTGAAATATATATTCATTTATTATTCAATAGACAAATCCAGTTACTTTCAATGTATTATTTTGTGAAGTTATTCAACGTTTTCATATGATTGTTATGGGTATATATCGTTTATTAGATATACTTATTCGAAATGATCCAACAGTTGATGTTAATAAAATACCTGGTGGTCATAAACGTATTGTTATTTGTTATCCACCATATAATTATCATATGGATCCATCTGATATGGTTTGTGAAATGTTTTTTTTCTTTTGTTTATTAAAACGATTTGAAGAATAATTATTTTTTAGGTCTATGTAATGCAACAATCACGTCCTTATAATAATGGTCATTATTCAAGACAAAACTCTTCAATAACAGCAATACAAACTCGATGAATATTTTGTATATTCTAATTAGTTGTTGTATTTCATCATCTTTTTCTTTGATTATTATTAGCCTTAATTATATGTATTTCAATGTTTTTTTCTTTCTTACTCAAAAATAAACTCATTGTTCCTTTAAATTAGAAAAAGTAACTTGAAGTTTTCGAGTATGATTAATGGAAAGAAGAAGCTCAAGAAGAAAACCTTTTAAAGTAAATGAGAAAGATAATACAAAAATATAATTTTGTAAAAATGTTGAAGATATTTGGATGGTTGCAATCGTAAAGACAGTGGATTGGCAACTAGCATAATCTAACTAAGCCGTGAACACTTATAGGGAATATATATATATATATATATGATGGATAAATAAAAACTATTAATTCGTGGAAACATCAGTAACCAAAAAAAGTTAAATAAGTTTATTGACAATCTAGTTTATGCTGCATAGATTTATGTTGAGAAAAACTGTTAACCTAGAACTTGAAAACGATATAGTGTTATCATTATGTTTTGTTTTCGGTTAAAGAATACTGGTGAACTAAGGCTGAATTTCTGAAACAGCGCTCATATTATTTTAGAAATGTGAAAGTCATTTCAGTTTATTTAAATTTACAAACAATAAAAAGTATCAATCGGTACAAAAAATTTAGGTATTGATATTAAGTTTAGTTGAATTCATGATATCGAACTACTTCAAGTAACGAGAGAAGTTCTCCTCAACTGATAATTCGCTTTCGAGTTGAGACTATGCGCATTATAAAGAACCAAATGAACTATGGATATCGTGAAAAGAACTCATGTTCTGAGCTTATTGCTGCCGATATACCATACTTTTCCGATGTTTTTTTTTACATGAAATGCCACGATTCCCCTCAGAAAAACTGATATTCGAAGTTCGATTTGAAACTTTACATAGAGACAAACCTTAACAAAAATAGTTTTTGTGAGTGTTTCAGATCTTATTGCTGTTCCTGTTCTAAGATACAACTATGATAATAGCCTGTCTTTTACATCAGTCATATCAATTGCTAGATTTTATACTCATATTTTAGGATAGGAGGAAATCAAAAAATCTGAAACTACTGTCATTACGGCTTGCCTCTATGCAAACTTTCAAGTGGAAATTCAAAAATCAGTTTTTGAAATATTCCTACGGAAGATAACGATATTGAGTTAAAAAATATTGTAAACATGCAATGTCTTCGCAGCAATAAGTTAAGAACACGAACTCTTTTCCGGGACACACATAACTCATTTGAGTCTGCATAATGCACATAGTCTTGACTCAAAGACGATTTATCAATTGGAAAACTTCCTTCGTAAGTGCATGAATCTAATGTAGTACCAATAGTCCTAACCTATCTTTCATCTGTGAGAACGATGTTCGGTTTTATGCAATATTACAGTAAAATCTTAAAACATCGATTTTCAGAGAAAACATCACAAAAACAATATGTTCAAGAACTAGATACATCTGTTCTATAGGTGGACAATATAGTTTCTCTGTAGAAACAAAGTAGAAAATTTCAGAATTTGTACACGATAATATTTTCACTATTTTGAAAAAATATATGCTAAAATAAATCTCTTTAGTAATCGCTTTAACTGCGTCTGGTTACAAAAGCCAATGACAAATGGTCATTGTTCTTGATAGATATTTTCTTAGCTGGTTTAGTGTTTTTAATCAAATCTATGACGAATAAGTCTATTTCTTTTTAAGTTCCGATGAACTACTTCATTCATCACACTGTTCAATGTGATAGATAGGGTTCCACTAGAATTTTATTGATCGTATAGTAATGAATAAAATACGATTTATATTAATGACAACGATATGTAACTAATCTTCATTAATGAATTGATTCCAAACAGAATACTATTTTAGTCATAATGCTTCTTTGAGTTTTAACGATTTCAATAAATAAATCACGTTAAATATATTCCTCGAACAACGTGATTCGATTCATCAATCAAAGTAGTACAATGTACAGGTCGATTCGCTTTACAAAACAAACTGTACTTAGCGCCGGTGTCTAAATTTAGTAATCCTCATAAATTTTGATCAATGAATTCTTTATAAGTAGAAACATGTATCAATTTAGTTTTGAAATATTATTATATTATACTTCTGGTAATGATCGAACCAATGAGTAATACTGTGCCACTTCACCATCAATGAGTCATGTCATAGAACAGTAAAAAAAAATATTGTATGAATAATTAATAGGTAATCACAATATTTTTCTCGTGCTAGTTTGATCACATCCTCTTTCGTCGCTGTTTTTACATTCATAAGATTGTCCTTCGTAAGACGCCCACCCATACGAAAAGTTATATTATGATTAAAAGTTATAGTTTAACATGTTTTTTTCTATATACATAGGACATCTGATATAATGAGCACCTATTATACTCAACCGAACGATGTGTATTATATATCACCAGGACAATTTGATCAATTACAGGGACAAGTTAATGATGTATGAAGAAACAAAACAAAACCGAAGATTTTTTCAATTATTAAATATTCTATATTATTTTATTTTATTTTATTTTATTTTAGGTTACACAAATAATGAGAAATAATATACAATTAGGAATACAACGTGGTACAAATCTTGATGATCTTGAGATTAAAGCAGGTAAGATGATTTCAAATTGAAGAAGAGTTTTTTTATTTTATTTAAATTAATGTAGAGGATCTGAATAACTACTCTCAACAATTTGCTTTTACTGCACATGAGGTAGAGAAAAAATATTGGTGGCAAAATGTTAATGTAAATTTTCTATTAATTTATTTTTCGTTTGTCAATAATAATTTCTTCTTTTTCCTTTTTTTTAGATGTGGATTCTTTTAATTCTTGTTATTATTGTAATCATTGTTCTCGTAATTGGTAAGAACAATTATCTAAGATAATTTATAATAAGATCAATTTTGTATCTTTTTTTTTGTTTCTAGTTCTTCCTATTCTAGCTTCACAGCATAAAATATAATTTGACATTAATTTTCATGAAATTAATTTATATGTATATGTCTTTCATTATCGTTACTTTGTTTTCTATTGAGCATTAGTGATACTCATGCATTTATATTCAATATTTTTCTTTTTTTTTTGCATGAATAATTAAACAAATAATCGAATATTTGCTCAATAAGATATTTAATAAACAACTAAATAAATAAAATTTTAGGACTCGTGAAAAAATAAAAGGAATATTAATTCATAGATATACGATTTATCATAGTAGAATTATTAAATTTTTGTGTTTGAATATTAAAATAATTTCGTTACTGGATGACATTTACATGTCAATATGGTGTCACAAGTATATATGTTCTTTGTCAATGACATTTTTAAAAAAAACGATTTATTATTGGTTGACTATTGGTTTTGGACATGCCAATCATTATTTGAAATTCTATATTTATTACTTTTCATTCTGAAAAAAAAAAGAAAACAATTCAATTGCCATTTAAGTTACTCATATCGACTATAAATATCTTAAATGTATAACTATTTTTTCTAGTGCTTAAGGCAAACGTTGTTATCTATCGAACATGTAATAAAATCAGATAAGTTACTGCATATAGAAAAAACGTGTATACCTTGTTCGTGTGTTATGTTGTTCACACATATACTGATTTAATGTTCTACATTATCAAATATTGGCCATAGCAAATAGGCAACAAGTGTTTTATTTTTGACTTCCTAAATAGATAAATTTTCATAGACAATCAAATTTTTTCTTTTTAATTGATCATGTCATAAATTGATACAATCTCAATAACGAATGAATAAGCAAAAATAAACTTATTTTTTGTTCTTTTGCGTCATTTGATTTTTTTTTTGTTTAGTGACGAAAACGGTTACTTACCTATGTTAGAACTATATATTTCATAAATTCAATATTTTTACAAACCTAGAACATCGAATATAACAAATACAAATCGTCCATCGACTAGAATACATTAAATATCATCTGAAAGTCTTTAACAATGGCAAGAAAAAAATGAAGTAAGTATAAGAGGAATATGTCTTTAAATGAATATATTATGTATTTTAGGTAACAAAAGAAACTGAAAAGTAATTTATATTTAGAATTAGAATGTGGAGAAAAACTTGATAGAATCTAGAAAATAAAGAAAATGAATGATAAAAATGAGTTGATGTCTCGAACAACTTTTTTTTTAACTGCAAAAAAAAAACTTCAACGAACATATTGGATAAAATGACTTATAGTAAATATTTATTTCGAATTCATTTCGTCTAACTTTTATAAACAATTTGTTCTTTTATAGATATCGATCATTTTTTATCATGGCGATCTTAGCTAAGACAAAGTATTTTAGTTAAATTATTCAAATTAATATTTTCGTTGCCAAAAAAAAAACAAAACGCACATTGATATCAATTTACTATATCGAAGTGTGCTTTATAATTATACTTTTTATGGTACGAAGTACTATATAATAATCGTTCGCAAGCGTTTTTATTTTTCAACAAGTAACTCGAATTGCTGTTGCATGTCACGATGATCTAAAGATTGAAGAGTCATACGATTTTCGTTCAAACGTTGTTACAAAGTTCCATGTTTTTATGTGATCAATTTATTATTCCGAAACTTTGATATGAGGTTCCGTTCGACTTCTCAATCTGCTTCACAAAATGACGATTTTGAAGTGAGAAGTCTGTTTTTGTTTTCGAGATAGTGAAAATGAGTTTTAACATCTCCAATGATTAGATAGAATGTTGCTACAAATACTCACACTCTCAATTTGAAAGTTTTCTAATCTCCTAAACGATAAGTCTACTTTTGATCTCGAGGTGAATGTATAAAATGAACCAATTTTGAAGCTAGATATAAATTATAACAACATCATCAATTAACCATAGAAAAATTTTTATAGATGTTATGTCTCGTTTTTAAAATAAATTAATAATGATAATTTCATTTCGTTTTCCCTTCAGAATTAGTGTGAAAACATGGATACAAAGAATACTTTTTGTATCCTGTGTTAGAATTGATCGACTTTGTCATTTAAAAATAACAATTCTTAACAACAACTATAATCTTCTATCCATATTTTCATCGGCTTCGTATGATACTGAACTCACTATTGAGCATAAAACACCTACTGAAATAAGAACTCGGCATGTATTTTCAAACAATAGTGTACGCTATTTTATTTCTATGTACAAATTCATTCACGATAACATAAAAATAAGAAGGAAAAAAATTCCAAACATCATAAAAAGAAAGTGAAATATGGCATAGTGTATGAAATTATATTGCAATGAATTTTTTTTCATTTGTTCGTTTTCTTGTGGTATCAAAAAAAGACAACAGATAAAAAAAAGGAGTAAAGCACTCGAATGACAACAACTACGAAAAACAAATAGAAACATCTAGAGAAAAATGCCAACATACTATATAAGTTCAAATCATTTTATTTTTTTTTCATTGATCAAACACCACACGCACTATAGACAAAAATAAAAAGCCAATAATAACAACAACTGCTGCTGCCATGCCATCTAAACACGCGAGCATAAAGCCACAACAGCTTCCTTATGCTCGTATGGTTTAGAACTTCGTTCTAGTGTGGCTCAATGCCAATATCATCAGGAAATAAAGGAAGTGATGAACAAAATATGTCCATTCAGTAATGTGAATGAATGCATCGACTTTATAATTGATATTCAAGAAGAGGAAATATAATCGTTTCTGATGCCTTTGCGCAAACAACTCTTCCCATTGTTCATGACATTTAACAAATCAATAGCATCTATATTTGAACTGAGAACCAAGTTGGACATGAAGGTTGGACCAATTAATGGCCAAAAATCCAAGGAATCTTTACAGATACTGCTCCTATCTGTAAATACCTTCAATAAGAGGCACAAGAATGTGATCAAAACATGATATCGATCAGTTTTGCCACAACCAATAGTAGCAGCAGTAAGATAAATCTCAATCAATTAGATTCGTCATTTATGTATACCCAAATAATAAAGGAAATTTTATTAACCATTAATTTCAAACAACAACACATTTGATGAATTTATCACTTTGTGTCGTCAATTGTTTACCGCAAATCCGAGAGAACTGCAAAATGTTCAGAAAATCGAATGAGAATACCACGAACATGGCCCAATATGATGGTATACATACCCAAGTTTCCTTTATTCAATGCTGAATCGATCATTACGAATGATAAAGATTGATCTTATCATAAGTATTGGATTTTTCATTCGAGATCTCTACACAATTGCAATCGCCCAACTTCATGCACAATAGTTTGCTGGACAATCAACCTTGGATTCATTTACTGTTTATCGTGGTCAAGGACTATCGAAGGACGACTTTAATCGATTGACCAACGCTAAAGATGGAGTCTTATCATTTAATAATTTTTTATTGACTAGTATACGTCGTCAAATATCTCTCAACTTTGCTCGTAAAATTATGCAATCATCGGATCTTTTTGGTATTTTATTCATTATGAAAATTGATTCGTCCGTTGTATCGACATCATTTGCCTATGTCCGTAAAATCAGTTATTTCAAGGAAGGAGAAATTCTTTTCTCTATACATTCCATTTTTCGGATTGGACTAATGGAACCAATCGTTGGAAATAATCGTCTTTGGCAAGTCGATTTAATATTGATCAACGACAATGATCCATATGTCCATGCACTTACTGAACACATGCGTGAAGAGACCTATTCTCAGAAGAAAGGATGAGATCGTTTGGGTCGATTACCGTTGGAAATAGGGCAATTCAGTAAAGCTCGAGAGATGTTTGATATTCTGCTTCATCAAACAATGAGTGATCGTGAAAAGTCATCAATTTACAATATGCTCGGGCGAGTGAAGAAGGAGGTCAAGGTGAATATGTAAATGTTATTTTGTTTATCATCAACGATCAAATGAAATTCTTTAAAAGATTGTCTCATCAACGGATGTTGCTTTGAGTATTTCTTACAACAACATCGGTATAATGTATGATAACATGGGTGACTATTCAAGTGCACTTTCATCTCATTAAAAAGCACTGGAACTTCATCAAAAAAACTCTTCCTTCAAATCATCCTCATTTGGCTGCTTTTTATACTTGTCTTGGCTCAGTGTACGACAACCTTAGCGACTATTAGAATGCACTTTCCTTTCATCAAAAGTCACTGGGAATTTGTCAAAAAGGGTGTAAGTGTGAGTATGAGTATGGGCATCGGTGTGACTACGTTTGGAGTGCCTGGTGGCGTTTTTCACGCTATCCACAGCAACAACTACACCCCTTCGTTTCTACTATGCGCGCACATAGCAAGTGCGACACACACATATGTATCCTCTCCTTTACCTTTTGTTTATTTTCGAAACGTTCTTTTCTTCTGATATTGCTCAGGTATTTCCATCTGTTGTTCGTGTTTCTTTCCAAGTGTTTTTGTTTTTTCCCAGTTAGTTCACATATATATTGGTGTCAGTTTGGAAAATAAAAGAGAAGCTCAATATCGATTTGCTAGATCAATTACGTGTTAACACTCTCTTATAGTACGACTCTAACACATGCCATAACATAGTATGTTTGTCTGAGTAGCAAATAAAGATTTTATAAAGAATGTTATGTTCGGATTATTGATGTAAAATCTGCAATAGATGTGTCTTAATTTGATATAAAATTAGTTTCTCTATGTCTTATGGCTCAAGAGAACAAAAATTTTAAAAATGGCACCTATAGGTACTTTTGAAAAAGAAAGGATTAAGCAAAACATTTATTGTATTTTATATAATATCTTTTTATTAATATAAAGCAATAATCGTTTTCTTAGATAGATATGAACAATTTGAGCATCAAATTATGAATTATCACGTACATGAGTACTGATAGGAAAAGCAAAATATAAATACTCCAATAGCGTGTGTTTTTCTCTTCTAGCAAACTTTTCGGTTCTCAGCAGGATTTTTCTATTCACATGATATTTTGAGATGAATAT